AAACAACAAAACAAAGATTGCATTTTTAAATAAACTTTCCTTATGAAATTAATTTTAACTAGCCGAAATGTCGTTATCGGTTTCGGTAAAATATTTGCCGAAATGTCAGTTTTGGTTTCGGAACCGAACTAGAGTACCCGAAATTTTGAACAAACATGAACTTTTGAACAAAAACATGAACTATAGCTCAAGAATTTAACAAATTTTTTATCGATATAGGTCCAACACTTTCTAAAAAAATCCCAAACACCAAATCTTTATTTACTGATTTTCTAGTACCCATTGATAATTGCATTGGTTCAGTTGAGTTGTCTTCTGAATTGTTGTTTGAAGAGTTTGAAAGAGCCTTCAAATCTTTAAAAAAAAATAAAGCAATTGGAGCAGATCAAATAAATGGAAACGTTATTATAGATTGTTTTGAACAGCTAAAAGTTGTTCTTTTTAAAGTTTTTAAAGCTTCTATCCATCAAGGTGTTTTCCCCGAACTGTTAAAAATTGCCAAAATTATTCCTATTTTTAAAGAAGGGGACAAATCAATTATAAGTAATTATCGCCCTATTTCTGTTCTTTCCACCTTTTCAAAAATTTTAGAAAGAATTATATATAACAGAGTATACAAATATTTTCATGTTAATAAATTACTTAACATTAATCATTTCGGTTTTAAAAAGGATAGCTCAACTGAACATGCAATTATCCAATTTGTACGGGAAATCTCAAAATCATTTGAAAAATCACAATATACTCTAGGACTTTTTATTGATCTATCAAAAGCTTTTGATACGGTTGACCACCAAATTCTAATCCATAAACTTAAACACTATGGAATAAAAAATAAAGTTTTAAAATGGTTTGAAAGCTATTTGTCAAATCGTAAACAATTTGTTCCGAGTAATGACGGTTATCACACCAATTGTCTTTCTATAACATGTGGAGTCCCACAAGGCTCAATTCTTGGTCCACTCCTTTTCCTAATTTATATTAATGATTTAAATAAAGCCTCTAAACTAACAAGTATTATGTTTGCAGATGATACTAACTTATTTCTTTCTAACAGTGATATCTTTGAACTTTTTAAAACAATGAACAAAGAGCTTATACATGTATCGAGTTGGTTTAAATGTAATAAGTTAACTCTAAATTCTAATAAAACAAAGTGGACCTTATTCCATTCGCTTTCCAAAAAACGATATTTGCCATTAAACTTACCTAAAATTTTTATTGATCAAAATGAAATAAAAAGGGATTCTGTAACAAAATTTTTAGGTGTTTACCTTGATGAAAACATCACTTGGAATCATCATATCGACTACATAAGCACTAAAATTTCAAAAAACATAGGAGTTTTATATAAAGCACGAATCTACCTCAATAAGAAAATTTTAATCAAACTTTATTATTCATTTATACACAGTTATTTAAATTATGCTAATATCGCCTGGGGTAGTACAGAAAAAAGTAAGTTGCAACGTCTTTATCGCCGTCAGAAACATGCTATCCGTTTAATCTGCTTTGCAAATCGCTTTTCTCACGCAAAACATTATTTTATTGAAATGAGAATTTTAAATATATACGAGCTAAATATATATAATGTTTTATGCTTTGTATACATGTGGAAAAATGACTTGTCTCAATCTGTCTTCAAAGATATTTTTACTCCGAAACCCATCAACAAATACAATTTGAAAAATACTGATTTTTTAAATGAACCTTTCTGTCAAACGAACTTTAATCAATTTTGTATTGTCTATCGGGCACCACACCTTTGGAATAAAATTGTTTTGCCCAATTTTGATTTCGAACTACCCATTACTTTTCGTTTTTTTAAAAGTAAATTAAAAACCCTTATTTTTTCATTATAAGACGTATTATGTTATTATTAATAATATAAATTAATAACTTTGCCTTTTCTTATTTATATTTGTAAAAAGTTTATTCTTACTTATTTTGCTGATTTTATATTCTTTACTTCACGTATACGTTTATATAAAATATTAGTGAGTAGATCCGCGTGATCTCTCTTTGGATTATAAAATATATATTTGGATTATATATATATGAAATTTGTAAAAATTTGATACTGTTAATGCTTGTTTGAACTTATTTAAGGTTCTGACGACAAGATCCTTTGATCTTCTTTCAGATACCTTATTTTATATTTGTGAAAGTTTATTATTATCATCATTATTTTTATTTTATTTTTTTTGGCAATATATAGTTGTAATACGACCAACAAATGTAAAATTAAAAAAAAAAAAAAAAAAAAAAAAAAATTTGGTTTTGTTCGGTTTCGGCTTTTTTTTCTGTTTCGGTCGATTACTAGCCATTGTGGCTGCCATAGATGAGGATGGGTAAATCTAGCAATGTCAATGGACTAAACAAAGCAGAAACTGTTTTTGATTTTCGTCTTTGGTGATGGTTTTCTCGTTTTTCTGGATAAGAGCAATGCTAATTCAGCAGAGCTTCTTGTTGCAGCTGCCATTGTGTACTAAAGTACCTGCCTGTGGATATAAAAAGTACCGAGTAGTAAATATTGTGATGATGGCTGATGTTTTCAAACTTCACAAAGAACTAGAACAATAATTTGTATGGTATCCCTAAAGGGCCGCTCAGAAAAACAAAACTAAAAATATTCATAACATATATTTGCCGATACGCATAAATCCAGTCAAATACATTCATTCTTTTTTTTATCTTTTTTTTCCTTATTTTTCTTTTTTATCTTTTTATTATTTGATATTTTTTTCATTCACAAACACACACATTCACACACACACACACACACACACACACACACACACACACACACACACAGATATATATATATATATATATATATATATATATATATATATATATATATATATATATATATATATATATATATATATATATATATATATATATATATATATATATATATATATATAAACAATTTTAAAAATGTATTCTACAAAATAGAGTACTCAATGTTCTTAAAAGAACAGAGCAATTATAAATTAATAGAAAATCACTTAACAAAATTTTTATTTTACACTGTTTCATCAACAAAGACTCATCAGAAATGCATTTTCCAATTCCAATTTTTCTGTAATTCGTTGCAAAAAGTTGCAACGATTGGAGTCTAGGAATTACAGAACCTCGTAATATTTCCCTCTCTCTTCCCCAAGCCTTAAATATGGACAATAAGTTACTTAGTACCAACTATAAGTATACTATTAATGTTATAAACTAAATTTATATTCATTGACAATTTTATTTAATAGTTTCTTAATATTATGTTTTAATTTTTAAACTTGCAAAATTCCAAAAAACCCCAAAATAAGAAGGTTATTAAATATATATATATATATATATATATATATATATATATATATATATATATATATATATATATATATATATATATATATATATATATATATATATATATATATATATATATATATATATATATATATATATATATATTTATATATTTGTTACCTTAGCTGTATTTTTAATATAATTATTTTTGTTGTTGAAATTTAGGTGGAAATTAGGTGGAAACTTGTTTTTTTTGTTGTTAAAATTCTTTATTGTAAAAAATAAAATCTAAAATAAATAGGCTGCTGACATCATAAGTGACATGTAATTAGATTAATAATCGATATAATCGAAAATCGAATAATCGAAAGCAATTTGTATACGTGGATGTAGTTTCACCAGTAAACTTACTCGATATAACCTGTGTAGTTCCTCAGGGATCAATATTAGGGCTTCTTCTCCTTCTTATTTATATCAACGATCTCCATAAAGCCTCAAATGTAATGACGATTATGTTTGCAGATGATACGAACTGGTTTTTATCTCATAATGATACTACATTTTTATTTCAGAATATCAATAATGAACTAGTAAGAGTTTCTGATTGTTTTAAGACAAATAAACTGTCTTTTAAAACTGATAAAACAAAATGGATTTTTTTCCATCTAAACGACAAAAAAATCTTATACTAAATGACATGCCACCGCTTTTTATTGATAACATACTTCTAAAAAAAGTACCAACTTTCTTGGTATTTATATTGATGAAAAATTGTCATGGAAAAGTCACATAAAAAATTTGAGAAGTAAAGTATCAAAAAGCATAGGAATGTTATAAAAAGCAAGGAGTTTTTTTAAATAAATATACATTACTTAAACTATATTATTCGCTCATTCATTATCACATAAACTATGCGAACATTGCGTGGGTTAGTACTAATAAATGTAAACTGGAACCTCTTTATCGTCAACAAAAACATGTTGCACGCCTTATTAATTTTAAGGAACGATTTACCCATGCCAAGCCTCTATTTATTGAAATGAAAGTTATAAATATATATGAGATTGATATTTTTAACGTTATATGCTTTATGTATATATATTTATATATATATATATATATATATATATATATATATATATATATATATATATATATATATATATATATATATATATATATATATATATATATATATATATGTATATATATATATATATATATATATATATATATATATATATATATATATATATATATATATATATACATATATATATATACACACACAATATATAATGTATACATATTATATATACAGTGTTAACGAATATTTATTAAATCAATAAGTTATAAAATTTAAGAACAAAAAACAAAAAAAAAAAAAAAAAGATTATATATAGTATTGTTTATGAAAAAGTGATTTCAATATTGTATAAATTATTAGACAAATGTACAAAATTTATTTTACTGATTTCTTGTTTCTTTATTTTTTTATACAAAATTTTCTAAACCCAAATATCATTTACAGCCTAACGGGGGGGAGAAGAGGGGTAATATAACTTTTCTAAAAACACATTTGAACTTATACAATTATGTCTTTGGTGACATTTTTAGCCAACTTTTTTTTGATTTACTGTGTAGGATTATAATAAAAGGTTAATTTTATAAATTTTTATTTTCTTTTTTTTAAGTTATCAGCTTTGAAGAAAATGTCAGCCAAGGTGAATGCAATTGAACTTGCTGATCTTCCTAACCAAGAGGTACACGTTGAGGTTCAAAGTAATCAAGATTGGAAAGCGTACGATGACTCAAAATATGATTCTCCTGTGCTAAATCGCTTCGTTCCATTCCCAACATACTACTATATTAGATGGAAATTACTTGCATTTTTCCATATCCAACTTTTGTTTGGCATCGTTGTAGGAGAGGTTGTTTTTATTGATGTATTAAAATTTAGGTAGCAAGTTTAATAATAGATGTGTGTAAATAATCATTAATTCACACATTCTCAATAGTCAATAAAAAAAAGTAAATAGTTCACAAAAGTCAGCAAAAAAGACTTTTTGCTGACTTTTGTGAGAAAAAATTTTTTTATTCCTGATTAGCGTTATTTATATTTCATTATTTATAATAAAACATAAGACAATATTTATGGGTTTATAGCTTTTGTAATTTTCTCTTTTTTTTTATTTAATAACTTAACTTATTTCATTAAAATATTAGTTAAAGTATTTCCTATTTTTGTTAAATTTTGCATAATGCGCCCGAAATTTTATATTTTTTATATATTATATATTATGATTTTATTTTTTTGCGCGCTTTTTAATTTATATATCAGTTTAACAAATGGCAACTAATTAAAAAGATAAAAAAACAACAACAACAAAAACATTACGTCTAAAACTGACATTTTGGACATAGTTGTTTACCGTGGTATTGACCGTGTATACTAACGCATAGCGTAAGTGTTCGTAATTTAAATAGCTTTGAGCCACATTGAGTTTAAGAACTCATTTTAAAAAAGTTACCTTTAAATTTTCTATAAAAAATTTTCTATAAAAAATTGTTATAAAAAGATTTGAATTTTCTATAAAAAATTGTTTTGAACTTTTAATAGAACGGAACTGTTTGTTTTAATTTTTTTTTTTTTTTTTCAGGTAATACTATTTTTAATCTTGGTGGGAGGGTTAGCTGGTTGGTTGGCAGCTATAGGAATGTCAACAACAACTAGCGTAACAAGTGCAATCAATCAGACATATGGTCGACAAAAAAATCCTACTAAGGAGTTAGCTGAGGAAACCGGAAGTATAGCTGCAATACCGCTAATTTTATGTTTTGCTTTGGCGTGTCGAAATTCTTTATGGATTGTGCTTGTTGGCGTTCCGTTTGAACGTGGATTATTTTGGCATAAGCTATGTGCTTGGTTAGGTGTTCTTGTTGGCGCGTGGCATGGCTACGTATCTCAAGAGTGGAATGTAACTGGTTTGGTTCTCACAGGAGCAATGGGAGGTTTGATACTGTTTTCTTTTTTTCCAATAAGAAGGTACTTTTTTGAGGCATTTTATCGTTTTCATTGGATTTTGTTTCTCGTTGTAATTGGATTTTCTGTTGCTCACGGAGCGGGAGTGGTTTTGATTGGAGCGGGTTTATGGCTTTTTGATGTAATTTTACGAATAATTATTGCTTTTATTAACAATAAAAGAGCACGAAAACTAAAAGCAACAAGACTTCCAGCTGGTGTTATTCGATTATCATTCCCTAAAAATAATTTTAAGTATAAAGCTGGCCAATATTGTTTTATTTGTGTACCTGGAGTATCATTGGTTGAATGGCACCCATTTAGTATTTCTTCATCATCTCATGAGCCAAATGTAACACTTCACATTCGTGTACTTGGTGACTGGACAAAGAAATTGTACAATTCTACAGAGCAAACAAGAGACCTGTTAACTTACGTAGACGGCCCATATGGGGCTCCAGGTGTTGACATAGATAGTGATAAATATAAACTAATTATGTTTTTCAGCGGAGGCATAGGGATAACACCTGCACAGTCGATATGTAACGAAATGCTATATCAGTATAAGAGAGGCAGACCACTGCATAAAATTATATTTGTGTGGTCAGTCCGAGATTTATTTTTAGTTGATTCTGTACTTGAATATGATAAAGAAAATATCACTAACAAAAGTGTTCATCGTCTGCCGATATCGTTTCAACCTGATTTAATTAATCAACCAGATGTATCCGAAAAAATTTTAGAGAACTATTTCCATTTGACTAAAGAGCGCGATAAATCAAAGTTTGAAGAAGCTAATATTAAACCAGACTTACAACCAGATTTGAGATTTGGGCGACCAGTTATATCAGAATATTTTGAAAAAATGACAAAATTTGCACTAATGGATCAGCAATATAAGATTGCCGTTATTTCGTGTGGTCCGTCAAGTATGGTAAATGATGTTGAGAAGATGTGTAATAAATATTCTAAGAAAGGCTTGTCGTTTCATTTCCATAAAGAAGTATTTGAATTCTAATTTAACTTGATTAATTCAATATAACAGTAAATTAAACGACACGGTGCCGTTGTAACGATTTCTCGGTACTTTAATATTATTCAATGACAATAATTTTGTCTTCATGCAAATGAAAATATAAACTGTAATTTTTTTTCCGACCTCGTAATTTGGCTAAAATTACATGAAAAACATTTTTATCTTAAACCATTAATTTATTGTAACTTTTTAAATAATTTTTAAATAAATTTTTGTTACACTATAACAGTTTTTATATAAATATTTTATTAAACTATAATAGTTGAAAACAAGTTAGTATCATTTTTCATTTTTAAATTTCTATTGTTTTTTTATTATTATAATTTTTATCTAACTATATAACATATAAAAAAATTTTGTGACAAAAAAATTGTAAATTTATGCTTTCAAAGCAACACTAGAAAACATTATTTTATACGTGTAATTTTTGTATATATCCTGTATATTTTTAACTTAAAAACAGTGTTTTCGGTCAGCTTTAAAAATAACAGATGCTATTTATAGAGTGCCAGTGCACTGGCACTCTATAAATAGCATCTGTTATTTCTAACAGATGCTATTTCTGTCTATAAATAGCATCTGTCACGACACTGCAGTGTCGTGAAACAAATTATAATAAATTATCTTCCGTTACGTAAAAAATCAACCGGGGAGCTAATGCCTAATATACTCCCTAAAAACAAATAATATTCAAACGACAGATCAATGAAAACTCGAAACTACATTTCGCAACCTTCTAATCGGCTGTGTTGATTTGGAACTGGTTCTTCAATCTCAAGATGCTAACAATACTTATGAACTTTTTTTATCGCAATTTTGTAAACAATACAATAAAACATTTCCCCTAAAAACCTTTTGTATAAATTTATAATTACTTTAATCTCCTTGGATAACAAAAGATTGTCGGAAAAATAAGAAACTTCATGAAAAATTAAAAAAAAATAAAACTTATTCAAATAAAATTAAATATAAAAACTATAAAAATTTTTTTGAAAAAATCAAAAAATACTCAAAAAAATATATATTATTCTATATATATGCATGTATTATATATATATATATATATATATATATATATATATATATATATATATATATATATATATATATATATATATATATATATATATATATATATATATATATATATATATATATATATATATATATATATATATATATATATATATATATATATATTCTGAACTTATAAAAAAATCTGAAGATAATTTAAAACAAATATTTAAAACAAATATGGAATGCAATTTTTTAATTTAATTTAAACACTTTATTTCATATTGATTTTTACAAGTTTTATTTAACACTAAAACTAGTTTAAATCAACACATTTAATATTATAGACAATAAACACACATATATAAATGTCATAAAAAAAATTACAATTGTTTCATAAAATGTCGTGAAAGTTTACAATTGTTTCAATTTAAAAAAAATATTTATAATAATATAATCTTAGCTAAAGATATGTCAGTATAAAATACAACAAAATTTTAAAAAACGACAAATTTGCAAACGCAATTATTGCCACACCAATTCTTGATATGTTTTTTGAAAACCTCAAGACTTTTTGCGGACATTGTCTCACTATTTAGAGTGTTCCAGAGCGAGATGGCTCTATATAAGGTACAGCATGAACCATTATGTATCGAGCTTTTAAGAGGTAGAATGAGTTTTTTGCTACAACGGAGTTTATACGTAAAACTTTTTATAGAATAGATAATACAATTTAGACAATAGACAATAAAACTTCTATCATAAGAAATCTCAAATTTCTTAGATGGATTCTTGGACTATTATCAAAATTTAATAATTCATCCAGAGACAAGTCAAATCTTTTATAGACTATACTTAAAGCTTTTTTGTGAATTCTATTTATTTGTTTGTCATCTTTTTTTGTACAAAATATCCAAATTAGAGGACAAAACGAAAAGTTAGACAAAATAAAAGCGTTAAACAGTAAAAAAAGTTTTTTCACGGGATAAAAAAATTTTTAAGCGTGAAAGAGCAAAACATTTACCATTAGCTTTACTGCATAACTGTTTAATTTGTCCCCCAAACTTTGGATTTATATCAATTGTTATACCAAGTAGTTTTACCTTATCAGAGACAATACCCTAATATTACCTATTTTTAGCGATAGATTTTTTGTGTTTTTTAAGCCAACTAAAAGAAATTAGAACTTATCTGAGTTAGTAACCATTGAGTTTAACTGAAACCAATTGATGGTGTTGGTTGCTTCTTTTTGCAAACGAAAAATAACCTCCTCAAGACTATAATCACAAGCACAAATAGTATTATCATCAGCATAATAACTTTAATAAATAAAATAACTTTAATAAATAAAAATAAATTATTTATAAAGATATTGAACAAAATTGGCCCAAGGGTTGACCCTTAAGGCACTCCAGATAATATATCCAATTAAAAAAATAATTGGTCAAAATAAATATAAAAATAACATTTTGTCATAAAAAAACTTTAAACTGACGGTAATTTAATTTGTTATAAAGTGCTTTTAACTTTTTTGTTAATATTAGCTCTAATTTGGCACGAAATATTCCTCCAACTTTACTAACATTTAATTCCTATCCAAAAACTTCTAATAAAAAAATGAAAGAATCACAATTGAGTTGCGATCTACCTTATTAAGTCTAAAAATAAACATAAGTGCTGGATCAGATAAATTAATGGCAATATATTAAAATTAGTCTATGACATAATTTAATCATGGTTCAATTATATCATAGAAATTGGCCTGTAATTTGAGAGGTCTGACTCATCTTTAGCCCTAAAAGTTGGTTTGAAAGATAGATTGATAATATGAAATAAGCATGCATCCTTATTTTATATTTTCAAATCTATCTTTTTAATCAAGTATAGTTCCGGATAATTTAAAAATTGCACGAGTCACATGAATTTTTAAGGCTGGAGATGAGTCAGACCCTCAAATTATAGGCCTATTTCTGTCTTATCGTATTTTTCTAAATTGCTTAAGCATATAATGTACATTGTAAAAAAACTCCGTAGTATTTATCAGTCTTTTTCCGTTGTTATGTTAAGGAAGAAATCTGTTTTCAGTCTTTTACCTATACTTTTACGACTTCTGATAATATTAATACTGTAATTTAGTTAATAATAGTCGACTTACATCATTTTAAGATAATTTTTAGGCTTTTCTATACGCGGTTTTTCTATTCCACGCGGTTTTACAAGCAAGGTCTCCAAGTAAATTAGAATTGATTAGAGTTGATATACTTTTATTATTATTCGCGAAGAATTGATGTTGTGTATTTATATAATAAATAATATATGATCAAAAATATATGATCTATGTTTGTTTGTTGGTTCTTGGTTATTTTTATGTGCCTGTTTTCTTTTTTTAGAAGAAGTTAAAAACTTTAAAAAATGACTGGTAAAGTAGTTTTATTAGTACAGTGTTTTTTTTTTATAACAGTGATTCGGTTTTTTTAGAACAACTAATGTTTTATTTTTCAGAAAATTTAGAATTAAAAAGCCTATTTAATAAGTTTAATTCATTTTATCATTTATAGATTATTTTTTGTTTGTAGAAGAATTAATGAGAATGAAATTTTTTAGACAAGCTGTTTTTTAGACAGCGACTGAAGTAAGTTTTGTCATTCATTATTTTTAAGCCGGAATTCCATTTTCGCTAATAGCTATTGTTTCAATTTTATTGTATTTTAACTTAATAACAAAATTTTTATTAAAGTTTATTTTTGTTTTAATTTCTTTTTTTTTTAGGCAGACAGACCTACTTAGTAAGTTTGTAATTTTTGTAGATTTGTGTGCAGCAAGCTTCTTTTTTATCTTAGCTTTCTTTAATCTTGATTATATCTAATATTGTTGAATGTGTTTTATATTAGGCAATTTAATTTTTTTTTCATTTAGGTGTTGTTTCAGCTGCTACAAATTGTGACTTATTTTATTAAAAAAAGCAAAAAATATTGTTTATTTGAACATTACCATCAGGTTGAAATATAATGGCTTTTTTTAATTAATTTTTTTTTATTTAGTTATTTCTACTCCCAGCAGGCACAATGACGTTGAAATAACGTTGAAACAACGTCGCAAACCGACCATATGCCACGTTAAAACAACGTTGAAATTGGTGGAATCGGAAATAAAATCCAACGTTGAAAACTACGACGTTGAAACAACGTCGATGATTACGTTGTTTCAACGTTGTTCTAACGTCATATCAACTACATATCAACCATATTTCAACTTTGAATAGGTGATATTCGGTTGATACCTAGTTGATACAACGTTAGAACAACGTTGAAACAACGTAAATTCAACGTTGATTTTTGTTTTTTATTTTGGTTAAAATCCAATTAACTAAAAAATTTACTCAACTTTAATTGCAATAAAATAATACAATAAAAAAGCAATAATTTGCGCAAAGGATATTATATTTCACGTAAATTAATCAGATACAACTAAATTGCTTCTAGGGACTTTATATACAATGCGAATAAAAAAGAATGTATGAAAAAAAAGTTTTAATTAACAATAGTTCCAGAACAATTAGGAAAACGTATAAATGTTGTTTTGTACCGACCACAACCATTCGATCTGTCGAGTGCATATTTTAATAAAGTCATTATTCTTTTTCCTATTTCGGCAACTGTAGCAGTCGCTTTAATTGACACGACGCTCTCTATAAAAAATTGTATTGCCTTAGTAATTTGCATTAAATTAAAATAAAACAGTATCAAAGCAACGAACTCTGATTTTTAAAAATATATAATTTTACACTTGACTTACCAGTAATAACCTTACAAATGTTTGTTCCTTCAAACTTCTCATTATTCTTACCGCCAGCCATATTAAATTTTGATTATAAACCATTGGTCAACAACCTGCATTATACATTATTATTATCATTATAGTTATATTAAAAATTGACACATTAGATATACATTATATATATATATATATATATATATATATATATATATATATATATATATATATATATATATATATATATATATATATATATATATATCATATATATATATATATATATATATATATATATATATATATATATATATATATATATATATATATATATATATATATATACATATATATATATATATATATATATATATATATATATATATATATATATATATATATATATATATATATATATATATATATATATATATATATATATATATATATATATATATATATATATATATATATATATATATATATATATATATATATATATATATATATATATATATATATATATATATATATATATATATATATACCTGGTGTCCACGCAACTGCGTTACGCTCAAATTTAAGGCT